TATCACAATAGGCTCGGTGAAGGGTGGTATCTAACTGTGTAATGACACTGGTGACTCCGAACTTATAGGGTGAAGGCGGAGCCTGTCACCCGACGTTCAACGTCACCGGTCTAAAGACGTGATTAGAGGTGGCTTCAGCCAGGCGCGCGAGGGCGCGCGTGTCCCAAGTACAACTGTGTGTTGTACTTCGCTCCATTCCTTCAAGGAACCGTGGTTATATTCATAACCTTACTTTTTTCAGCTGTGGTGGCCCTGCTGTTGAAAGCAGCAGTCTCCTTCACCTTGTAGGCATTCTGCGAGCTCAACTGGGTGAGACCAACATTGTACAGATTTAATTTTTTTAGCTATTAAAAAGGAAATGAACTTCCCACGTTCATTGACTAATGTTTTGATTTATTGTTAAGAGGTCACCGTTGTTAAAACATTTGCACAAAGGGAACTAAACAACAATAGTTTCAAATTAAAAGTAAAATACAACAGAGCAGTATTGCCAGTACATTCTGCCCGCATTCCCCACTTTGTTCTTTTACCGTAAGTAAATGTTTTTAAGCTAAAGAAAAATTTTATATTTAAAAAACAACAAACCCATTTGGTCAGTCAAAGTACAAACAAAAAGGGATTTTACGTATTTTGCATTTAAGTCTGACAAACATTCAGGCTTCTGAGGTTAACCAGAGCAGAGCCAAGATAAAGACCATTGTTTCTCTATTTGTTTTTGTCCACTGGTGGCTCCCTAAGTGGACGCGCCATTGATAACTACATAATGCGTCCCTTCCCATGCAACAAAGGCTCCCTCAACCAGATGGCAAATTAGTGGCAATTGTTGAGAAACAATGTGGACGGCTGATGACAGACGTTCAGGCTGCGTGGAGGAGACAGCAGCAGGATGTTGTTCGGACAGAAGAGTTTTCTGTTCTGCTGCTCTGCGCAGCAAGAGAGTGAGCAAGGTGCAAGTAGGAATCATTATTTAGGACTTCATGAGCCTCCCGGTCAGTTAACACACATCCGCTGACGTCCTTCTGCTCCTGGAGACGCTCAGATTTGAGTTAGCAGAAAAGGGATAAGGTGCTGCAGATTCACTTAAGTATGTGTAGTTTTGACAATAATTATATTAAATATATATAAATAATATATACATATAATTTGTCCACACTTTAGGTCATTAAAGTACTGCCATCTACTACTACCCCATCGCTAAAGGCACAGTTCACAACTTCTTTACACTGTGTGACCTTTCCACTCTATACACCAGCCATGGCATTTCTGCACTCCTTATGCAGCTATGTGCTACATGTGGTTTGGGAAGTTGTTTTGTAATCGGTGGGTTGCCGGTTCAAACCCCCACTCARTCTGTCTCAGTTGTGTCCTTAGGCAAGACACTTCACCCGCCTTGCCTGCTGGTGGTGGTCAGAGGGCCAAGTGGCTACAATGTTTACCACCATCAGTGTGTGATTGTGTGTATGAATGGATGAAGGGCTGTAAAGTGAAGCCCTTTGGAGTCCTTGGACTTGATGAAGCACTATACAAGTTCAGACCATTTACACTTTACACAATTTGGCATGTTAGCACAATTCTTTTTTTTGTCACTTCARTAGAAAACGAAACTAAATATTATTAGTTTATTTATTTCTTCATCATCAGTGACTTTTAAGTGAAGAGAAAATAGAGAAAGAGAGAAAAACAGAGGGAGAAGTAATTAGAAAGATTGAAATAGAGATTAGAAGTATGTTAAATATACACCAACAAAACACAGGACCACACACCCAACATCTGTCCGCTCACCTGAAAAATAAATGGATAAATACATGGAGGGCATATATAAACATATACACATACCTATACATATATAAAGACATACATACATACATGCCTACATTCATAAATATTGTCAGTATATACACACAGACATATATACACACTCAGTGACCAGTCAGAACCCCCCGGATCAGAACACCTGTTTGTGAGCAGTTGTGAACATGCGTGTTTAYACAAGATTTCTCCAATGACATATTTAACAGTGAYTGTGGAGGACCGRAGACCCAACCCCCAAGACACRAGGCAGACATAGGGAAGACCAGAGCCCAAGGGCCCGAGAGGGGTCCTGAGTGCAGAGCCCCAAGTGGCACCCACACGGGAAGATCCGCCCACCCACCCCCCAGATCAGACCATAGGGAGAACTGGGAGAGTCCCCCCAGCGACCACACGCACCGCTCCCGGGGCCAGCAGCGACAAACTCATGGGCCCCACCGGCACCCGCCACACCAGAGCAGATCCAGGAAAGGGCACAGAGGTCTGGGCTCCCAGGGCGCCACCCCCCCCCCCGGCCAAAGCCTGACAGGGCCCCAGCAGGCAGTCACCATGCCAGGCCGGCACACACCCCAGCGCCCAGCCCCAGACCCCAGGAACCCCCAGCACGCCGGCGACCAGCCGCACACCTCACCGGGGGGACGAGTAGCAGCAGGCCCCCAGATAAACCAGCAGGAGAGGCAGCCCAGACCGCAGCCTGACAAATACCCAAACATACACAATCTCACCATCCCACCCTCATCCTCACCCCCACTCAATCAAAGACATACAAGGACGCCACATTCCATTTATACCCCCGATACACACTCTATACCCCCCAGGTCCAGGACATGCACCCACCCCCCTATTGGAGGCAGCACACACCCGAACCCAGGATATAGACCCAATCATTCTGAGTCCTTGGACTTGATAAAGCACTTCATAAGTTCAGGCCATTTACACTTTACACAATTTGGCATGTTAGCATGATGCTAAATGCAGGATAGGGTAAACA